TGTTGATTGTCTTGTCCAGTGATTGCTGTTTTGTTGATGCACTCATTTTTGTTATTCATTGCTCTGTGTTTCCAGTTTTGCTCCTGATGTTCTGTGTTTCTCTGATATTTTGAGTTAGTTTGTGTCTTTACATTCCCCTGGTAAGACTATTGCATTTCTTTTTGGATTTGTGTTTTGCTTGGATTATCTTCAGCCTTGTTGTGATGTATGTTTCTTTCAGTTTCTTTCTGCTTCTTCTGTTTGGATTTTTGGCATCTGCATACCTGCTTTTCATTGTTTTCTTAATAAAAACGGCTGAACTTAGATCCTCGCCTCTCCTCTTCCCTGTCACTGAATTTGTAACAGATCCATTTGTAATACCTAGCTATGGCCATTTTTTGAAAGCAACAAATGAATCGCAAGTGTTTTATTATAACAAAACAAGATTTTTTTTGGAGGGATTTTAAAAGCATGAAATTTGTTGCAATCAGGACACAATTTTCCCCATAATCAATTTCAATATTAAAACTGCGTACTTCCAGAGGACATGTTCCAGTGGACCTACTGCTATTGATTGAGACTGGGAATGATATAGCTTTCTCAAGGTATTATAATGGATACTAAAAGGTGTTTTCTTTAAATTGAGTATATAGTAAGTCAAATAAGCATTCATTTCATTTAAGCAATTTGGTGTACATCTCATTTGCTGTTATTAAATTATATTTTGCATAGCTATAGCAGCATTGTGTAGGTAGCCAGCCGCTTTGGTCTCTATATCAGCATCCCCCATTAACCCATATTGGCCCACAATGTAATCCCAAAGGATCACAGTTCACGGCTCGGCACAGGTTTTTGTATGTCTCTCAGAACACTCACATTAGCTCCCCGCTCTCATATTAATTATTTCCCGCTGGAGTTCCCCTCACTTCCCTTTGTATCGATCTCCTCTGCTTGCTCTGAGGTTAGGTAGATCTTTCCAAATGTGATGTACATTTATCAAACCTCTAAACATGTTTCTCTTCCTCCTATAGCACAGGAGCATCGTTAATGAGATTTTTCGCCCACGCGGAGCCTTGGTTTCTGCATTGCAGGAGTGGCACAATATTTGTGACTGACAGCTTTGTAGAGGAGCTGCTCTGTGAACTGAGCGCTTGAGTGGAATACAATGAGAAATCTGTCTACTTGGGACTCTGCCCGGCTGAAAATGTGTCACTTTGACAACCGTGCCAAGGTTTTTGCAGGCCAGCTGCTTTCACTTTTACTCCATGGCTCTATTTGTCACCTCTCTTTTCACAACGGCTATCAGAATCGTTAAATCTCTTGATCTGAGTTGCGTTTCCCATACACCAATGTAACTCGCTGATTAACTACCATATACGATGCATCGTTCATGAAAGTAACCAACTAGTCACGACTGTTTTGCGAAACTAAAGTGGTCACACCTCTGTCGATCGCACCACATTGTTTCAACAATATGACGTCGCTCACAGGTGGAGGAGTAATAACTTCTGTTAATCAATCTATTCGAGATCTCCGAGATGCTGCTGTAACGAACATGTCACCTAATGACTACTCCACTGTTTTTGTTTTCCATGCCATTTTGCATTATTTGATGTTTGATTCATCGTGGGTTCCCTCATACGTCATAATCCGGAGTTCCCTTTTGCATTTTAAGCACATGCACACTCTTCAAAAACGGTGCTGATTAAAATATATAGAATAAAATGTATATATTTAAATAGAATGAAAGATGTAGGGCCAGATTTACTAATATTTTCAACTAAGACAAACCATGTGTAAATTCATGTCAACACCATTGTTGAGTATTTTCTCCTTAAAACTGCAGTGAACCAAAGTCATGCCTTGTCCAAATACCCACACTTGCGGTCTTGTCCACTTAAGAGCGCGTGCACGCGACAGGAAGTGCGCAAGAAAATAGCCATGTCTTAAAAAAGGCAAAGTGCAGTGCCCTTAATGCACACTAAACTCACACTATCTCGAATAACGCTTCGGAGCGGTATTCAAGGCTAAGTCTATCTCATCATGCATTATGTTCAGGAGCTCATGTGCCCCGAAATGGCGAGATGTCGAGGAAAACATTCCACTTTAATTTAAATTAATTATACATATAATTTGGTAGTAAAAACAAAATGTTGCAAATTTTATTGGTGCAAAGATGAGTATGGTATTTGTAGGCCTATTTTGTACAACATTTGCAACTGTCTAATTAATCACTTTTTACATTTGTGTCTTCTGTTAGTTATAATATGCGGATTTGTTGCTCAAGAAACATTCTTATTATGATCAATGTTGAAAACAGTTGTGCTGCTTAATATTTTTGTGGAAACTGTGATGTTTTTTTCAGCATTTTTTTTTTTTTTTTTTTTTTTTTACAGAAATGCATCCTTGATTAATAAAATAATCAATTTCTTAAAAAAAAAATCTTACTAACCCTAAAGTTTTTATGGAAACCATTTAAAAATTATTTATAAAATGATTATTTCAGTGCAGCAGACAGTATCATTTATTCTGATCTGATAGTATTGTGTCTCATGATAATGAAGTTCAGGGGGCTTGAACTGATTCTGAATGAGCTTGATGTAAGGAAATTACCTTTTGAAGTGCAAGTGTTATATATCTGTAGAATCTGAAAAGAGAGCCAATTGTGTTATGATTCTGTTTTATTCTCCCTGTTGCTGAGTGCAGATAGATTTATCAGACACTATCAGCAGCTGTTTTAATTGTGTGAAGCTTCAGTAAGATCTATTAATAATGAGCCGCTGGCTAGAATCCATGCTGGCAACCTCTGAAGCTTTTGAAGTTATCTTTTTGTTTAACAACAATGAACAGTATCCAAGAACTCTGAGGCTCTAATTAAATTTAGGCCACAGAAATATAACCGCTAATTTCCATGTGTGTATGTTTGGAAATATTTACGATTGTCTGCACTTTCTTATTAAAGTTGGCGGAAGCTGTATTTTTGTCTCCATCAGAATTGCAAATAAAATAGTTTCCAGACATACATGCTGCTTAGTGCATACTGCACAGTGTACACTAAATACCGTCTACTAATAAAAAAAAATAAAAAACAGATATGCATTGACTGACTTTGGAATATCTACTTTAATACTCCACACCGTATATGCAAATACTGAACGCTAACATGGACATTAAAGACGGCAGCCACTAGGGCCAGTCGCTAGTGAGCCTCTTGAGGTCAGGGGAGTGAGGTTTACTCGCACAGCTCTTAGAGCTGTCCCCCATTACATAGTATTATACAAAAAATGTCCCCCTTCAGGTTGTGGTACACGTGTCTTTTAGTTGTGAAGTCTTTACTGATTTTTATAAAGTAAACGTAAGAATGACTTTTATATTGTTAGTAATATTTCAAGATGAACACTCACTGGACTGAATTTGGATTTGATTATCCATCATTTTAAAATGTCAGTATCAGGCTTTTGAGGAACGTTTATTTGTAAATATCTCAATCATCATTGTATTGAATTTTTTTATGTTTTGCCCCCACAATTAAAGCTTTGATCATAAAACTAACACATGACACAAATAGCATATTAAGACAAACTATTGAAAATTGAAAACTGCTATTTATATGCATTTTATGTTAGTAGTCTGCTTGCATTATCAGAATTTCATACATTTTGGCCTTATACATAACACCATCTGCACCAAATTGCCTATGTGTGCATATAACAAAATAATGTTTTTTCCACCTTAAGTATGAGCTCCATATTCTCACTACAGCATACTGTTATGAACCATAAAAGCCTAATGTATCAAATATGATTCTCAACAAAAACAGATTTTGTCTAAAGGTTCAATAAACTCATCAATAATAATAAAAAAAAAAAATCCAGACTATGATTTAATGTCTTTAATATATATTATTTAATATTATTAGTTATCATCTTGGAAAATAAATATTTATTTTGCAGTTTTAATCCAATTTGATCAATTTTATTGTCAGGACTTGACAACATCAACAACAAAAACCTTCACATCAGCTTACTGAGATGGTGCAAACAGCACTACCAGGCAGTCAGAAAGTGTTTAGGTGAGTTATAGCAGGCAGTCGGCTCTTGTGCTGCTCTTTTTGTCCTGAGACAGCTGAGGTTAGAGTCTGCCAGGATGCCAGCTGGTGAAGATATGAGTTTACCCCCCTCTCTACTAACACAATCTCTCATTCACCTCTACCCCCGAGGGAAGGTGAGAAGAGGTGACTTCACTTCTCCCTCTGAAACCACAAACATAAGACACAGAGACAATGAAGACTAAGTTTTATGGACAGTCAATGAGTAAACACTTACTCTGCGGTCCTCCCCTCTTTGCCACCAGCAGTGATTTTCCACTAGCCTTGAAGTGGCTGTTTATTGTTCCTGATCATGACTGATGGTCCCGTAATCGTCCCAACCTGCCCGTCAGATACACCTCTAAAGCTTTTTGCTTCAGCCTTGGCTGTCACAGAGGCATTCTGGGAGCTGAAAATACATCTAATATACTGTTTCTTAACAGAACTCTGGCTCGTCTCATCCGCATTGCTTTGTTGCTGTAGATTCAGCTTCGAAAAACAGTCGAGAACGCATCTCTGCAAGCTTCCAAACCCCGAAATGCTGAAATCGCACCCCTCATAGTGTAAAATGACACCCCCACACACACTTTATGATACATAAGCCCCATTAAAAAAGTGAAATGAGGCACCATTCGGTGGAAATTAAGACACAACAGAAATCTGAGACTCAATTAGCTTCTCATTTTTCACTCGAGGAATTCTTTCCTAGCCGGCTTTATGAAGGATTGTTCTAAATGACACAGATTTCTGTCAGAGAGAAGTCCTTTCGTTCTCCCCCCGAGGGTTGCTGCACTGATACACACGTCTCACATGAAATCCCTGCTCTGAGGCAGTGCAAATGAGGCAGCACTAATACATTCTCCCTCAGCGGTGGGGAGACTATGTGTATGAGGGGAGGAAAGTTAATGCAGTTACTTTTATTTTGTTTTTGGAGCAGGACCATGGCAGCTCGGGAGGACCTCCTCGAAATTGGAAGGGAATTGGTATCGCCATGGTGGTCATCCTGGGGGTCATGTCTCTGGTCACCCTCTCAATTTTTCTCCTCACCCCCGGTAAGTTGGAGACCAAAGGAGTAAATGAATATAAATTGAATGAGCTGGTGAACCAAGGATAAAGAAGAGAGATGTGAGATCAGCTAAGGGAAGAAAGAGAGATGGGAAACACAACAGAAGATTATAGAGGGTTTTTGTGAGCGAGCTCATATATAAGACATCCATTCACAAATAAAAATACGAAAAGACAAGCGGAAACAAAGCAAGCAACACTCAGAATAGATTTTTGCTGCATCCTCAGGTTAGCTCTTAAAATGTGGTTGTGCAACAGAAGTATTTTTGTTTGGGTGCAAAATAACATACATTTCTATAATAGAACTTTGCTTAATCCGTGTGCATTGCCACTACAGCACCTACAAGATTTTTCTTTGTTTGCATTCATTGAGCTTTTTATTTTACCAGCATGCTTTGCGGAAGACGGGATAGGGAGAATAAATGTTGAAATTAAGTGTAATTATTTTATTTGTTTTTGAGGAAGATGAGAAAAGGGAGAGTTATGTTCAATGATCTGCTATGGGTTATAGAAGAGTTTCAGTTATATTGTCAGCTGGGTCCAAATGGCCAAATCCAAGTTTTACCCACTTTTGGTGCTTGGCGCGTTCATTTTGGAAGCGACACACAACATGTTCTTCTAAATCACAGCATAACTGAATATTAAACAATATGCTTTTTTAAAAAGTCATATTCGGTAAATAAAACCAATTGGATGGTAACTTAATTTTGAACTAAAACAATATGGCCTGGTTTCACAGACAGGGCTTAGATTAGGCTTCGGTTCAATTAGGAGATTTAAGAAGCTTTTATAAACATGCCTTAGAAAAAAACATTACATAACTGGTGTGCATCTTGAGACAAAACAATTGCACTGACACATTTTAAGAAATATAAGTGCAAGTTGCTTTCAGTTAGAACTGCTCAAACATGCATTTTAGTCTAGGACTAGGCTTAAGCCTTGCCTGTGAAACCGGGGGTTTATGGTTTACATGCAATATTTTTTTGTGAAAATTTTTTATTAAGAAAAAAAAAATACTGAGTGCACATTTTTCAATGTGTGGAACCACATTCCGGCATTTAATTGTTTATTTATTTTTAACATTTTTTTTTCTTACAGCCTACTGCATTTGCATAAGTAGGTTCCATGCTGGTGGAATGATCTCCCCACCCTCATCCGGAATGCAGAATTCCTGACAACATTCAAAAGACAACTGAAAACTCATCTCTTCCGGGAGCACTTAACATAAAAAAAATAATAAAAAAAAATAAAAAAAAGAAGAAAAAAAAAATCCTTTCCTCTAAATCCTCGCTTGCCTGGCTTATGCTACTCCGAGCTATGTCTGAACTTTGTATTTTGAGCACTTCTTGCATTGCTTTTGCCTCTTCACGATGACTCGCTTGGTTTAGTCCTCAGTTGTAAGTCGCTTTGGATAAAAGCGTCTGCTAAATGACTAAATGTAAATGTAAATGTAGCATCAAAATGTGATTTTATTAGACATTCCTGTAGATTTTTCTAATAGACATGATTTGTCCTCAGGAGTTGTGGTTGTTCTTAACTGACTGCCTGATCTTGTATTTCAGACGAGTCTCACCTCCTGCTGCTGTCTCGTCTCACTCTGGAGAACCTAGAGAGCGAGGATTTCAGAGTCCACGACCCATGTGTGACGTGGCTAAATGGTAAAAACGTCATTATATTTCACAAACAGTGTTTAGGGAATGTTTTAGGTTCATTTATTTGATCTATGTGGACATTTAGAGCTCCTGGAGTGCAACAATTCATTGTCTTGAAATGTAATGGGAGACTGGATGTGTTTTTCTGCTAATAGTTAAAATGTTCGATTTACTTTTCAATAAAAGTGGCATTCATCAGGCTGCATTTCTATTCACTCTTCATTATATAGCATGCACAATTAATATGAGAGCATCCCAAATCATAATACATTGAAAATAGTATTATAAAGGTGTCTGTAGGGCTAATATTGGCCCAGACACATTGAAACTTTCACATTTTTGTAGTAACATAAGGAATGTGAGTTGCAGAAGTTAACTCTATATGAATCTAAAAGTTCAACTTGACGTGTGTAATATTTGGATTTTACAATACTCCTACCCCATTTTGATATGCTGTTTGACTTATTATAAGAAAGTTACTTATAGGTTGAGTTCCTCAAAAAAAACTGGGATTCTCAAAAGTATGTACACTACAGTTCAAACAGTCTTAATAAGATTAATACGATTTTTATTGTTTATTCTGTGACGGCAAAGCTGAATTTTCAGCATCATTACTCCAGTCTTCAGTGTCACATGATCCTTCAGAAATCATTCCTCAATCATCAATGCTGATCTGGTGGTCAAGAAACATTTCTAATAATTATCAAAATTGTATATACTGACTGTATACATATACTGTCTGTATATATATATATATATATATATTTATTATATTATATGTCATTATTCTCACTTTTAGTCATTTCAGTGCATCCTTTCTGGATAAAAATATGAATGGTATGATAGTAAACTTTCCCATCACCAGAGAAGCACATGTTCTTATTAGGGTGCAGGCCAGTCTTGAGCTCAGCTATTGAATGTTAATTTTCATGTTTTACAGAGAACGAGGTGTCATTTTGCACCCAGGAGGGTCATGTTTTAATCCACAATCTCAGCACAAATCTAACCACCACGCTATTGGACAATAGCACCCTGGTGAGTGTATAGTTACACACGCATGCATTCACATAGAAGAGAGCAGCATAGCACATAAAGGCCATGCAAAGACACATACTCACACAGCCCTGTCCTCGTCCCAAACCACCAGCGTAAAGCAGCTCTCTGGAGAACTACAACCCCCTTGAGGCATGTGAGCAGGACAAGACGTACAACTCCATTAGCTCCATTCTTATGGAACCTGACAAATGGGTCACTTCATAGCGAGAGTGTATAGGCTGGTAGCTGAATGTCTTTGAAGAAAGAATCAGAATGCCAAAAAATGAGCAAAGAGAGAGAGCAAATAGTGTTTCGGCTTCCAAAGCTCTAATAGTTAATGCTTTGTCTTTTATTCCCCCTTTCTGCACTTCTCCTCAGTTGATCTCGCAGCATGTGTCATCAAAGAGACTGTTTCAGCAGGGCCACCCTTTGAACGCTGCAGCTGGGTTACACTGAGAATCATATATGGGTCATTGCCTTAGACGCTCAATGGAATGTTGTTGAGATGGCAGATACTTCTCCTCTAAAGCCTCTACCCACACTGTCAACGCCGTTACACACGTCACATTGGCTTTATGCCCCAACAACATTTCTTAGCCACGATACACTTTCTGCATTCATGGTTTGCAGATTATGAGTGGTTTAAAGTGACGAATTCAAGTTTTCTCCGTGCCATTTTGTTGGTTTCCACCATAGACTGTAAAAAAAGATGAAGGACGTGTCAAAGTCAAAATATCCCAGAAACGGTCATTACAGATTACGTCATTTGGAGCCTGAGTCTGCGCAGTAGTGATCCTGAGGTGGAGCCGCCCATACTCCCACTCCTGCCTCAAAAAAACATACTAAAACCAAACTTATTAGAAAAAGTCATTAAAAATTTGCTTAGTTTTCACCAAAGCTCGCTCTCTTTTGCTGTAACATTAAACTGTTACCGCTGCCTCACAAGTCTGTCCGAAATCAGTTTCGTGAGGTACCTTGGTGCGCAAATGCTGCCTACAAAGTCATTGCCTGATAAGTTAGCGAGGCAACAAGTCAAAGTCAACAAGCAGGCATTGCGACAAAATAAACATTAAAATACATAAAAATAACATAAAAATACATAAAAATACATAAAAATAACATAAATATACATAAAAATAACATAAAAACATAAACATAAAAGATAAAAAAATATAAGCCTCAGATAATGTTTTTTTAATACTTTTTTTAAATATAATAAACGTTTTTAAAAATAAACAAAAATTGTGTTTGTGGTAAAAGACTTGCATGCTATAGATGTGTATGTTACAGCTTAATTTGTTTTTAATCCAAAATATTGTTTTAAGGTCATTAAAGTTATTTCTGGGTTTCCGTTTTAGGACCTGAAGTCCATGAAGTTCCAGGTTTCAGCTGATAAGAGGTTCATCCTGATGGCTTATAATATCCACCATGTGAGTAATATGAGCAGAAAAACACCAAGAAGCAGTGGTCCCATTTCCACATTACCTGTGTGTAAGAGAAAAGGATTTTTTTATTGCTTCCACAGATTATCTTGTTTTTGTGCCATTACAACACACAAGGTTTTATATCATAGTTGAGGCCTCTCTGTGTCTATTGTTTTTAATAAATGTGCTGTACAAGCAATTTTAACCATCCAGCCAACTTAGCCACTGAATTAGACAGCTGTTGTCTTGCTGTTTATCCCACACAAAATCATATCCCAGTTGGACCACAAAGCAATTCTATTGGCAAAATCGCTTTATGATGTATGTGATGTTGCCTATTGGATGTAAATATGACAAATAATGTCCTTCAAATGTCACATATAATACCAGAAGCTATCTTTTTTTATTGAGATTACATAAACTGCTATGAAACAATAATTATATTGTGATTACTTTGAAGAAGATATCTCAATAATCTTTTGTGTTTTTAAAAAGCATTACAAACAGACTAACCCTAGCCCTAAAATAAAAAGCTTGGATTTATAAGCCATGCATGTATTGATGGTACAAGCATTTTTGTGCACTGTCAGTGTTAGGTAATTAAGTTAACTTCATCTTTTATCTATTGAGGAAACTCTTTTAGCCCACTTACTTCGTCCATAATTTCTGCAGCATGTTCAACAATGAACACTGCTACGATCAACAGCAAACGTGGACGGAATAGAATATTCAAACACAGAGGAGCTCGGGTGTAAAGAAAGAAAGAAGAAGGGATTCTGACAGGCAGAGGGAGAGATGGAAACAGAGGAGAGGAGCTGTTTGGCACTGAATTGTAATGAGCATCACACTGGGGCAAGCCTTTGTGATTGCAGCAGGTTTTAGAAACAGGCTGAGAATAAACAACTTGTAGGCTATTTGTCTGAGCAACCACAGCAATCTGTAGTTCTTATCCCCCTGCCGAACCTCCACTTCAGAAAATAATCATTTCTGCAGTAGCGTTCTCTCTTCTCAAAAGAGAACGACTAAGCGGGGTATAGACATGAGTAATAGAGAAGAAGAAAAATGGGAAAAAACAGGCAATGAGTGAAAACACGGACAGTACTTACTCTCTCGTGAGTTGCACTCATTCTCTCTCTCTCTCTCTCTCTCTCTCTCTCTCTCTCTCTCTCTCTCTCTCTCTCTCTCTCTCTCTCTCTCTCTCTCTCTCTCTCTCTCTCTCTCTCTCTCTCTCTCTCTCTCTCTCTCTCTCTCAACGTCTCTTGTGAATATTGTTTTTTGTTGCTCATTTAAATGTGTTCTGTATCGTGCATTTGTCTCAAATATGTGACAAGTGGTGGATGTGGTCAATCATGTCCACATCGCATTTCACCCCAAAATAAGAAATTATTTCTGCATAAATAAAATATTAAGTAGCCTATTTTAGCACTATTATTATGGTTTGCATTGAGATTATATTTAATGACTGTATGTACGTATGTTATGTTATGTTATGTTATGTATGTGTGTTGCTGCCAGTGTAAAGACAGTCTGTACATTTGCAAGCACTTCATTTGGACTAAAACTAAAATTATCATGAGAAAATTGTCTCAATGCAAAAAAATCTTAAAGTATTTTGTTACATTTCTTTCTTTTCTCTGATATTGGACACATTCCTGTCTCACAGGATAAATAAAGCCAATCTGTGTGGTCACATCTGCAGGGAAACAAGGGATTTCTCTGTTAGTTCTCCACCTCCTCTAGTCACAATTGCTATCTCTCTTCCTTGATCTCTCTCTCCCCCCCTTTTCCCTCTATCTCTAGAGATTATGTGCTGACTGAGGCAGTTTACGGCTCAAGCAACTAAACTGAGGGAGGGAGGGGGGGGGGGGGGATTCGGTGACTGAAGAAGAAGAGGATAAAAACGATGTGATCTGCAGTCGCCCTTAGATCACGCTGTCCAATCGAAATCAATCATAGAGACGGAATGAATTGGATGTGTGAATGTGTGCAGAGAGATTGGAAACTGGGAGATAAGGGAAAGAGAGAGATACGAAAATATAAAAGGGGACACCAGAATAGTGAGGTGAAATTGCAAGGGAAGGAAGAAAATGGAAAAGGGAAAAAGCAGAAGGGAAGGAAGGCGAGTGCCACAAAGAAAATGAGGGTGCAAGCGAAATGTATATTGAGAGAGTGAAATTGAAACTGAGAAAGACAGCATGAGGGATGAGCCGAATCAAAAGACACAGACACAGAGTTAAAGAGAATGCTGAGGGTGGTAAAAGGATGTCAAATGTAAAGGGATAATTCATCCAAAAATCAAGATATCTGTCATTTACTCACCTTCATGTCATTCCAAATCCAAACCTGTTTAACTTTTTCTTCTGTAGAACACAAAAGAAGGCTTTTGAACTCCTAAAATGACACAAAAGCATCACAGAAGTAGTTCATATGTCTCATACACAAGTCACAGAAAGTCATAGCTTTGTGTGTGGAACAGACCAAAATGTATGTCATTATTCACTAAACAAATTGATACACATCCTTAGCACTTTCATAAAAGGAAAAACCAGATATTTGCTACATCTTTAACAAACTCTTGAGTCAGATCTTTTCAATGCATTAGTTGATGGTTCACAAAACTGTTTTCCAAAAGCATTGTAAGCTTGTAGATAGTAATAGAAACTATTGGCTCCGATAGACTCTAAGATCTACTTGGGTTTGTGATGCTTTTGGGAAATTCAGCCCTGAATGATTCGTTCAATCAATCAGACTGATTTGATTCTCAAGTTAATCTGTACTCACTGATTCAGTGATCCAGTCACAGTAGTTAACAGCTCACTGGAGGGGGAAATTATCAGTAAATAACATCATACATTTTGGTTTGTTTCTCACACAAAGCTTGGACTTCAAAAAACTTCTCTTAAGTTGTACATGATTTGCTTCTTTTTTTTGCCTAGTGATATATTAAAAGTTGAATACTTTATCTGTGTACAAACAGTATACTCACCTGAATCAATATACTCTCTATAACAAATCTCAGTTGCACGGTTGTTTATATGTGATTGTGGACTATCCCTTTTAAGGCACAGTGCTAGGAAGTCAGAGTTAGTGGAAAAAAGCTCAAATGTCTACAGGGATTCAGAAATAAAGAGGCACGTATTATGAGAACCAGAGCAACCTCAGACTTAAAGCCCTGAGGAGGACATGTTGTGATGAACATGAATTCAAAGATTTTACAGTGCGAATCAACACTACAGAGAGAAGAGAACATAATGAAAAAAGGCAGGCGGGAAGGCAAACTAGGGCAGATCTTGCACTTTTGGCACTGAGAATTGTGTGGGCTTCAGTACCGCATTCAGTATTATTGAGCAAATTTGTGCAATTACTATGCCAATGACACAACCATACAAATTCCCACATTAGCAATATTTCTTCCACTGTTTGCCGTGTGGATATACATCTTGCGATTCCTTGCAAAAAGAGAATTTATGACTCAGCGGGAATCCACAAACTCTTTTCCTATAATCAAAGCACACACACACACAGCTTACACTCAGAGAAAATGTGCTCAAACTTACACTAGACACTTTGAGATTGTACTCATGCACAGAAACACTTGTGTCTGTCTTTTTAATATTGAGATACAGCACTGTTCAAAAGTTTGGGGGCAGCAAGATTTTTTTTTTTTAATGTTTCAGAAATAAGTCTCTTCTACTTACCAATAAGGCTGATTTTATTTGATCAAAAATGTAAAACATCAATATTGGGAAATATTATTACAATTTAAAATAACTGTTGTTTATGTTATATAATATATTTTTTCATTTATTCCTGTGATGCAAAGCTGAATTTTCAGCATCATTACTCCAGTCTTCAGTGTCACATGATCCTTCAGAAATCATTTAAATATGCTGATTTGCTGCTCAAGAAACATTTCTTCTTATTATCAATGTTGCAAACAGTTGTGCTGCTTAATATTTTTGTGGAAACAGTGATACATTTTTATTCAGGATTCGTTGATGAATATAAGTTAAACAGTAAAGCATTTATTTGAAATATAACTTTTTTAAAATAATATCTTAAATGTCTTAACTGCCATATTTGATCAATTGAATGTGTCCTTGCTAAATAAACACCTTAATGTCTTTCAAAAGAAATATTTATCTTACTGACCTCAAACATTAATTTTTTAATGAAATAATTGTTTAACATCACTTCTATCCAGTGCCAGACAGTGCAACAGTCGGCTGATCTGTTTTTAGCTTGCGGTGCAGGGCATGACTTTTAATCCTATTAGGCTTTTGGGAAACGAGTGCAGTTTGAAGCTTGTCGCCAGACTGCGTTCTGTACTGATGCTGCCAGCAATCGATACATCTAATTTTACACGAATCATTACAGACCTAACTGATCAATATACTTATCTTCATATAGCCAAATGCATTGCAATAAACCGTCCTGCTGTCCTGACAAAAGCCCAAAGGAAACATCTATTGATTTAGGTCATCTTTGACATGCTAATCCAATGCAGTGAGTTTCAAGCTGTGAATTTGTTACGCAAGTGGATCCTTTTTTTTTTTTTTGGAGGGATATTGACCTCAATGATCACATTGATAGAGATGGGGCGTGTGCCGCTATCATTCTGTCATATGACCCCATACATGTGATGTACCGTTCTCATAAGAGTCAAACCAATTTGGGGGCCTGTATCCCTTCCGGACACTGATTGTGAAATAAAATAAATTGTTTTCTAAAGAATTGCTTCTTTTGCTCATGATGCTCCTCAATTGAATCCGCTGAATGAAGCTTGAAATTGAAATGAATTTAAATGATTCATAAACCACCCATAGTTGTGCTGTCATGCAGTGAGAGAATGAAAGATATTATGAGCTGTAAGAACTGCACAAGAAGCGTGTGCACAAGCATGTGCTATGCTCAGAATGGGATACTAGCATACTGTATACACTCACCGGCCACTTTATTAGGTACACCTGTCCAACTGCTCGTTAACACTTAATTTCTAAGCAGCCAATCACATGGCGGCAACTCAGTGCATTTAGGCATGTAGACATGGTCAAGACAATCTCCTGCAGTTCAAACCGAGCATCAGTATGGGGAAGAAAGGTGATTTGAGTGACTTTGAACGTGGCATGATTGTTGGTGCCAGAAGGGCTGGTCTGAGTATTTCAGAAACTGCTAATCTACTGGGATTTTCACGCACAACCATCTCTAGGGTTTACAGAGAATGGTCCGAAAAAGAAAAAACATCCAGTGAGCGGCAGTTCTGTGGGCGGAAATGCCTTGTTGATGCCAGAGGTCAGAGGAGAATGGCCAGACTGGTTCGAGCTGATAGAAGGGCAACAGTGACTGAAATAACCACTCGTTACAACCGAGGTATGCAGCAAAGCATTTGTGAAGCCACAACACGCACAACCTTGAGGCGGATGGGCTACAACAGCAGAAGACTCCACCGGGTACCACTCATCTCCACTACAAATAGGAAAAAGAGGCTACAATTTGCAAGAGCTCACCAAAATTGAACAGTTGAAGACTGGAAAAATGTTGCCTGGTCTGATGAGTCTCGATTTCTGTTGAGACATTCAGATGTTAGAGTCAGAATTTGGCGTAAACAGAATGAGAACATGGAACCATCATGCCTTGTTACCACTGTGCAGGCTGGTGGTGGTGGTGTAATGGTGTGGGGGATGTTTTCCTGGCACACTTTAGGCCCCTTAGTGCCAATTGGGCATCGTTTAAATGCCACGGCCTACCTGAGCATTGTTTCTGACCATGTCCATCCCTTTATGGCCACCATGTACCCATCCTCTGATGGCTACTTCCACCATGTCACAAAGCTCTAATCATTTCAAATTGGTTTCTTGAACATGACAATGAGTTCACTGTACTAAAATGGCCTCCACAGTCACCAGATCTCAACCCAATAGAGCATCTTTGGGATGTGGTGGAACGGGAGATTCGCATCATGGATGTGCAGCCGACAAATCTGCGGCAACTGTGTGATGCCATCATGTCAATATGGACCAAACTCCCTGAGGAATGCTTCCAGCACCTTGTTGAATCTATGCCACGAAGAATTGAGGCAGTTCTGAAGGCAAAAGGGGGTCCAACCCGTTACTAGCATGGGGTACCTAATAAAGTGGCCGGTGAGTGTATATAGGCTATATAAATAATGTATCTATTGTACTATCTATCTTTCGAAAGTTTGAGGTCAATAAGATTTTTTTGTAAGAAATGAATACTTCTATCTAAGCAATAAGGTACGAGAGGCTGTGCTGTATTGTGAATATAGTCAATCCCTTCAGGCCATACCTTTATCGTAAATAAAACATAGCTATTGACCAATCAGCATCAAGGACCAGAACTACCCATTTTATAATCCGCAAGGACGATCAAATGTGACCAGTGTTCATGTTTGACCAATTCATCAAAGGAATACATTACATTTTAAAATATAGTCAAATTACAGTTTTTTGAAATTGCAATAATATTTTACAATATTACTGTTTTTACTGTTTTCCACCCTATAAAAGAAATGCAGCCATGGTGAGCATAAAAGACTTAAAAAGCATTAAAGTCTTACTGCCCACAAACTTAAAAAAGTTTAAAGTTTAAAAATTTAAATATTGCGATTAATATTACTTTTGGTTTACTCATCACACTGGAAATTGACAATCTAGTTGAGTGCATTGCATATTTTTTGTTTTATAGTTCTTATACTGCACATTTTGGCAGCATAAGGTCATATAATCCTGAAAATTCATGCATACCGAAAATTATAATACAGTCACATACACATAAACACTGCAGAAATAGTGTGGTAGTATGCTATTCCGTACATAGTTTGTGTGTACAATTTAGGGATCCACCATGTCCTCTGCCCCTTTCCAGGTATTCTCACAGTCCTTCACAGCATCCTTTGCAATCTACACAGTGGCCAGCGGGTAGGTAGAGACAGAGGTTCCTCACTGCATGGCCTGTACTGGGCATGTGCACAACCAAAAACCAGTCCACAGGTCCCTCTGCGTTTGGCATTGATTACATAAAAGTATGGAAAAGGTACTATTTGTTCTGATGTTGACAGGTCTCTGCTGGATGAATTGTTTTTTTCACTAACCTGCAATTTACTGAATGCCCTGACAGGGATTTGCTATGTTCTGTTTGTTGATAAAAGCCTGAGATTCTTGCTTGTGGTTGTGAAAGAGCAGTGAAACTTAAAAGAATGTCTTGAAGCCCATTTGCTTGTTTTGGCAGAATTCACCGATCATTTAGCCTTAGCTGTGGTTTCATTGCATGTCCAGACCCCTGCCTCTCTGTATACTTCACTTTCATTTCGTATTAACTCTGCATCTGCATCGTGCTGTTTTTACGAGCCCTTTCAAGCACTCTAAAAATGACCCAGAACCGGATTAATTTTTGCTATGTAGTGCTTCAAATGTCTGTGATGTAATAGTTCAATCTATGTGTGTGTGTTTTTGTCTGCATATTTTAGGGAGATTATGGACCTCACCCCATCAGAGGAGGATACGTCAGTACTTCAGTATGCAGCGTGGGGACCTCAAGGGAACCAGTTGGTGAGGATCTTTGTTTCTATTGTACTATAGCGAGCTTCTTTAAAGGGATAGTTCACCCTTTTCACCCAAAATTAAATTTAAGTCATGAATTACTCACCCTGGTGTTATTATTATTTTTTTTTTTTTAAATTTCTCACTTGCGCTTGTCCATATAATGGCAGTGAATAGTGACCAGCATAAAGCTTTTTTAAAAATGTGCAAAAGTATCACAGAATGATCCAATGTCTTCTGGGGGTATACGATATGAAATGTAATGTATTTTTTTAAGGAAACAACGTTCTCATTCGTGCAATTCTGTTAGCACACCGACTCGCCCAGAAAAAGCACACAAGTTGTGAGAAATCAAGATTAACAAAAATGTGACACGAAATACAATCCATGTACCTACTTCTCTGAGGTGAACATATCCATTGCGTTCGCCGTAACAAGAAGTTATTGTGTTGACTTGTCCACTGTCATTCTGACTGTCATCAGACAAACGGAGTTACGGTCACTACGTTTGTCACATGACCGTAAAACATTAATACCAATTAATGTTAGGCTCAGGCTGATAGGTCTTTAACTCAGTTGTAAGCGATCACATCAACATCTACATAGCGCAGCTGATTGGTTGCTGTTGCATCAGCGGCCAATGAGCTGCGACTCAACATTCAAATACCGGTAGTGTTGCTGTTAGCAGTCTGCAGCGTGCTTTCAGAAACCCTCCACCTTCCCCAGCTCCACCTGTATAGATCTGCTATGGGGGTTAATTCATGTAGCAGATCTATTCCACCTGTCATGATTCCTGTCTTGTGTGGACTTTTGTTATTTACTGTTCTCTGCCATGTTTTGTAGTCCTTTGTAGTTTTTCTTGTTTATTAGTCTCTCCAGGTGTTTCTAATAGGCTCTATGCACGAACGCTGCTGATGTATTTCCGGTAGAATCTCAGCCAGTGTCTTTACCTCCGCATAGCGTGTTCTATAGCGAAGTGTACTAGAGGCCAAACTTTAATAAAATTCATTTTCTCAGAAATGAGACAACGATTTTAGAAACTGATTCGCTAGTCGGATTTCGCATGTTATGAGAGATTACTCACCCTCAAATGAGGGTGTAGCTGTAGCTCGAAATATATAATTTAAAGGTGCTCTATGTAACTTTTCTACTAAAATGAATCCTTTTTGTATTGCCTGTGTGTGAAGGGGTTGTAATCACACATTAAAATGATCCACTTGTCGAGTTTTGCTATTACCTCTGAAGGCCAGTATTCCTATTTCTATGTGAAGTCTCCGGGTCAGATTTACCGCGAAATCCAACGGATGTGACGTGCATGCGCGCTCCCGAGCCTCTCTCCTTATATACAGTCTATTGTAGACGGTCAGGGAGTTACGTCCGGTTAAAGGCGCACGTTTTTCGGCTTATATCTCAGTCAATCTTTGATCAATATTCCCAAGACTCTAATCGTTCGTAGTGCTGGACGGGGCCTTTCGAACGAGCCCACCCCCGAGGTCCAACTCGCCCGGCTCCCCGAGTTATAGCCGTTCGAAATCGGGGGTCCCAGCGAACGGCGATCCGGTAGGGGGCATCCCCGAGGCCCGCCACTCTAGCGTTCGGGCAAGGGTTCCCCTGGGACCTCCTCCCCCGAATTTAAGCTCTCTGGGTCTTTGCGTTCCAGAGATACGAGCGATTTTCTTCTGAGATCGTGACGTCACCAGCATCCGCAATTTTGCAGCGCGCCCGATGGTTTTCTGCTAATATCTCCGCGAAAACACCACCAAAAACTATGGAACTTAAATGGTTCTTTTCAGCTCGACTAGATGGTCCCAACGAGCTCGGTGCTCGCCGAATCCGTCAAGTATTCGCCGAGATATTTGCGTAATAGACGGTATTGTCTATGAGTTCGAGCACGAGCGCTCTTGTAAAATTTGGTTGCAATCTGAAACATCACCACTAGAGGCCGCTAAAAGTTACGTAGAGCACCTTTAATGCCCTTCTCTTTCTTACTCTTATGTGTGACAGCTAACTGCCTCACAATATTGTTAACATCATTCACGTTAACCGCTGGAAGTTCTTGTAAACAGTGAGTGTAATTTGCCATTATCTCCACCTAATGTAAAAACGGCTTCCGACGCATCACCGGATGTAACTGGGCGGGCTGAGACAAAACACGGAAGCGATCGTGCATAGAGCCTATTAGCCCTGCCTCCTTGTTATCTTGTTTAGCTTGTTTGCCTGTGTATTTAAACCTCTGTGCTTCAGTTGTTGTTTGTCGGTCGTTGTTTGCTTGTAGCTTGTAGCTTGTAGCTGTTTCCTATGTTCCTGACCTGAGTTCCGTGTTCTGTTGTTTGCCTTGGATTACCTGTTTGTTTTATTAAAGTAGTGCTTGCATGTGGATTCTCTCTCCGCTTCGTCCTTGCCTCATCGTTACACCACCAAGACCAAATACATTAACATTGCCATATGCATTACCTTGACAAACTCTATTACCATGCCAGTCTCTCAGAGAGTTGTCATGATAGAACTCCTTTAATTCAGAGAGTTAAAGCTGCTGTAGGTAACTTTTGTAAAAAATATTTTTTACATATTTGTTAAAACTGTCAATATGTCCTGACAGTAGAATATGAGACAGATAATCTGTGAAGAAAATCAAGCTCTTCTGGCTCCTCCCAGTGGTCCTATTGCCATTCGCAGAAATACACGCTCCCGGTCAGAAACAACCAATCAGAGCCAGGAGGAATGTCTTAGCAGTGTCAATCACGCTCGTGTACGCGCTGATCACACCCCTCTCTTGCACAGCGCGAGCCGTCGTTCAAACTCAAGATTGCCGGCGTGCTGCAGCTGTGCTTATGACGGAGAAACAACCTAAACTGCCAATTCTCGAGTGACACCTGCTCATAAAACAAAGAGGTAAAAGGAAAAAGACAGATGACGATAAACAAGCGAAAAAGAAAGAATTACACAGAGCCCATTGACTCGGTGTCAAAACTCTAGTCGCATAACATGTAGATAAAATGTCACGCACTCTGCTAAGCAACAATTGAAACCTGCTAATTCACTGGCTTGTCATGTTGCTGAAATAATGTACTAGCACACCTTATCTAGCATCATATATCGCTAGAATAATTACTTACATACTTTAACGTTAGTTACCGTTATATTAACGTTATCTTACTAGCTATTTATAACTTATAGAAAGAGTGCAACGTTATAAAGTTACATGTAGGCTATTGCAAAATACATAATGATTTGAGGACCAAGTTTGTAGTCAAAGTATGGGCATGCCATAGTCAATGTAAAGTATATTGTTGACGTTTAGTCCCTATTAGTGAATGTGCCATATAACTTTTTATCCGCCGTTATCGGTGGCCCTGTTTACTAGCCTGCGCGTTCACGACAGGCTCCGCTGTGGAGGACGAGCTGTGGAGGGAGGACTGTAGCGCAGCAGAGAGCAAGGGGGTGGGACCTGTAAGTTGTGCTTGTTCAAATTTTCAGGCTAAGTCAACGTTTTCTCAAAACTCCCTACTGCAGCTTTAAGTCATCTTAAATAAAAAGGTTATTTTTGTGATTTTTATTTTATTATTTTTATGCTGTTTTATTATATTTAAAAGGTTATTTACAATTTGTCTAATCAAATGACTAGTCAAGGGGAAAAAAGTCATCAGTTGATATTAATTGTCATGATATTAATTAAATGTTTTGCAATTTTTAGATTATTTTATCATTAAAATTAAATGTTAAAGTTTAAAGTCGATTATAGACATGCTTTATTTTTTTTATATTTTTTATATGTAGAGACATAATAGTAATATTTTAGCACTGGCTATAACATTTTCAGCTGTTAATGTGCACTCTGCCCTCTTAATTTTTAATTATCCTTGTAATAATCTTCACTCTTCCATGAAGAACCTCTAACATCCATGGAAACTTTCCATTGGTTCTTTATAGTGGAAAAAGGTTATTTAGATTATTAAAATGTTCTTCACTCTAAGAAATAAGAATGGTTCACTGAAAGGTTCTTTGTGGAACCCAAAATGGTTCTTCTATGGCATCACTGTGAAAAAAAAAAACCCCTTTGGAACCTTATTTTTAAGAGTGTTGGATTATGACTTCATCTATTAATGCTGGTTGTGTCTCTTTGTTGATCACAGGTCTATATCTTTGAGAATGACATCTACTACAAGCCAGATGTGTCTAGCAAGGCGATGCGTCTAACAGCCACGGGCAGAAATGGAATGGTGGTTAATGGGCTGTCTGATTGGACTTATGAGGGTCAGTGATTTTGGATGAGTCGTCCCCCTCAATACTCTCTTTCAGTCCATCACTATAATGAATCACCTTAATTCTGTGTGTGCTTTGAGACAATTCTGACAATCCCTTGAAGACATTCCAATATTCATGAAGAGATTATTATCTCATTTGGCCTTATAAATACACAATGAGATAGGTAAATGAGATTTATGATCATAAGCGTAGGTCTATGATGATATGTGTGTGTGGGTTAATTAGCCTCATCAAAATTTAATTTCTCTCCCTTACCTTATTCAACTTTAGAGGAGATATTGCTGAAATATCCTGCGTTCTGGTGGGCCAAAGACGGTGCACGCCTGGCGTATCTGTCCATTAACAACTCAGCCACTCCTTTTATGGAGATACATCACTTCCTGGGTGGGGTCTACCCTTCTAACGTCCTCTACCCATATCCAAAGGTAAAAACAGTTGACATGCAGCATACTAATTTCTTTTATATGACAAAATGAATCAGATATCACAATAAAAGTCTATATCGAATAATGAATGCAAGCATTTGCACTATTTGCAAGAGCATTTTGTCTTTAATTTGCTAATGTTAAAAGTATTGCTCTGTACAGGCAGGTTCCAGAATCCCATCAGCCAGTCTGTTTGTGGTGAATTTATACGGTCCAGCTCACACATTAGAGATGATTCCTCCAGACTCCCAGAACAGCAGGTGAACTTTATCTTTCATTAACATGTGTCCATAATTGCGAACATGCGACATATGCAGTGCACAGGGTGTGGATACAGAGCTGTTAATTTTTTATATCCTTTTAAACGCATAGAAAAATGTGTCTTAACTGTCTATTTATTAAAGTAAATCTTTTATGCATGATGTTAAAACATCGCAAATGAGTTTAATCTGTTTCTGTCGCACAGTGTTGCTTAGGCAACAAACACATTTAAGAAGTTCTTCATGATGAAGTTTAAAATGTAAAGTTTACTCTCTAACAAATGTAAATGTTTTTTAATGGGTGAACATTATGATCAATTGTCCTTCACACTGTGCATACTGCCAGAATAAGACTTGAAAATGGATGTGTTTTTAGTAGTTTATTCAAAGTAATTCCTTCATTATTAACACTTTTATTGCCATTTTAAATGCATAATGCATTTAAAATGGCAATAAAAGTGTTAATAATGAAGGAATTACTTTACTGCAAACCAAAGAAAAAGGGGTTGTTGCCCTGTGGCAACATTGTGCAATGGATTAGTAAGAGTGGTTTGATGTTACTCATTGAAGACTTTATTATATTTGTAGTGATAACTTGTTGTCTTTAGTAAGTTACTTTTTTATGAATATTTTTTTGTTGTTTTCCCCAACCCCTATTGTCCAAAAAGTACAGCCTCCATCATCCTGGGTTTGTAAGTGTGAGCTTTCCGCATTTAGATTGTGGAATTATTGGCCATTCCTCAGAGCAAATATGCTCCTGCTCTGCCAGATTAGATGGAGAATGCCGGTGGACAGCAATTTCAGGTCTTACTGCTGATTTTCAATTGGATTCAAGCCTTGGCTCGGGCTGTGCCGCTCCAGAATACCAACCTTCTGTATTTAAGCCATTCTTCATCGTTTTTGCTGTGTGCTTTCTTTGAGTCTTTGTCCTGCTGAAAAATGAATCTTCACTCTATACATAAGGCTTTGGTGAAAATCAAGCTTTTAATGTTGTTTATATGTCTATATCTATCTTTTAAAATGCTTTAAGACAAACCATGTGCAAATAAGTCAGCGCCATTGCTGAGTATTTTCTCCTTAAAACTGCAGTGACCCAAAGACAGTCTCAAAATGGCGGTTTGAAATCGCTGTTTCTGACGTCACAAACTACCTTGTAAACAATCATGTCAACGTGTGATCATTAATGAGTTGATCTCTGAGCTGGTGTGAGTGAGTGGGGGTGGGTCTAATTAGCATATTCATAGAACTGTGTATACTAAATGAGGCAAGGGTGTAGAGTTACATTCAAGCTATTTTAAGTCATGAAGAATTTTCAAGGAAAAAACATTTAAAAATGTAATTTTGGTGATCAATGATGAAGATTATCAAAAGATGGCAAAGGGACTTTAAAAGGCATAGTTCACCCAAAAATTTAAATTCTGTTATCATGTATTCACTAATGTAATATTCACATACTATCCCTTAAAAAACAAAAAAACATTGGCTACTGTATAGCACACATAAAATAATCAAATTTTAGTTAGACTGAACTTTTTTATAATTCAAAATACTGTATGGAGCCCCTAAAGGGACATAGTGAAGGAAAAAAATATTAATTGGAAGGAAAAATGAAAGGTCAATGCTATTACGTTCCCCCAAAAAACTTTTAAGCTCACAAAACTTTTGAGTTCTTTGCGAGTGAACGCAAAGTTTGTCGGGGGAACACAAAAGCATTGAAATATATTTGTTCCTCCCATCTCATATTTTTTTCCATCACCATGTCCGTTTAGGGGCCCGGGCTCCATAATATTGTATTCACTTCAATATTTTGTAATTTATAATTAATTTACATGATATTGTCATTTTAGCAATGCATGGAAAGTTACCTCTATGGGAGAAGATACATTTATCCTATTTAAACTTTAATTTGCAAGTGATTAGCATAAAAAAGAATAGTAAAACAATTATGATCCGTTTATTAGCATTAGTTAACATTAAGATTAATAAATGCTGTAAAAGTACTGTTCAAGAACTGTTAGTTCAATTTAATTTCCACAATTACATTTTTAGAATCAAAGTCGTATCTGTTAACATTAGTTAATGCACTAACTGATGTTAAGAAATGAGACCTTATTTTAAAGTGTCACCGACATAATGGATAAAGTGGTGATTCTGAATGCACTCTACTCTCTCTCTCTCTCTCTTTCTCTAGAGATAGCTACATCTCTATGGTGAGCTGGATAAGCAGCACCCGTCTGACTGTGCGCTGGTTGAACCGTGTCCAGAACCAGTCCGTGCTGTGTGTGTGTGAGGCCACGACAGGAGCCTGCTCAGAGGTGAGGGGTTTCCAGCTCATCCACTGCTCCCCACTGGGTATCTTTACTCTTAAAGTATCCATCGATCTTGCTCTCATTCTTTATTCTGCTCAGAACGTACAGAGAATCGCTTGCTTCTCTTCTGCCAGCTCAGCCTAATTTCCTTCTGGAGGCGTGAAAGACTAACTCAGCTTTACTTTTAAGCCTGAATTTTAATGCGCAGCCTGTCTTAATGCCTAAAGGTCATTCCCTTTTTATGTCCGAGTGATTGAATGCATGCGCACAGGAGTGTCTGCGTCTGACAGGGATGTTTGATTTCTACACCCTGTGTGTTCTGTGTTGATAAATCCGTCAACAGAGTTTTATAATTGGAGGCATTGAGAGCTGTGTTGTAATGCATAACAATTACTACTGTTAAAGTTAAACTGTTTGGCTCTGGAAGTAAAAATCCCATTTATTATCTCCATAGAGAAATAGATTTTTAACAGTAATGTGTATTAACGTCTCAATACCATGAGCTCTGAGGATGTTGAGCGGTGATCGATGATTTCTGCACAAGCCACAATTCTTTTATTAAGTGATTTTAGCTTAAATTAATCTCCATGCAAACTACTTAATATTCAAATGTATACAAATATTTAAGCAAGCGAATCTTATATATAAACATTGTTATAGTCATACAAAAAAATATACACTGCCATTCAAAAAATATGTTTTTGAAAGGGCTGCATTTATGCAGTAAAAACAGTAATATTGTGAAATATTATTACAGCTGTTTTGTTTATGTTTTAATATATTTTAAAATGTAATTACCTGTGATGTCAATGGTGGATTTTCAGCATCATTACTCCAGTCTTCAGTGTCACATGATCCTTCAGAAATCATTCTAATATGCTGATTTGCTCATTAAACATTTATTTTTATTATTATTAATGTTGGAAACAGTTACTGTTAAATATTTTTTGTGGAAACCATGTGCATTTTTTTTCAGGATTCTTTAATGAACAGAAAGTTCAAAAGAACAGCATTTATATGAAATATTAATCTTTTGTAACATTGTAAGTGGTTTTACTGTCACTTTTGATCAAATTAATGCGCCCTTGCTGAATAAAAGTATTCCTTTCTTTTCTTTTAAAAAATAAATAAAAATTTGACTGAACCCAAACTTTTTAATGATAGTGTAAAAATACAAATTCATGAAAACAAGTCATACTCCACTCCCTTTAAACAGTTAATCTGTTTTTAAGATTAACTTTAAGTGTTAGATAACAGCAACCTAAATGTAAAATAGAGGAAATGAGTATGTACCTTAATTCTTAAAAAAAGTTCAAATTTAGAACAGCCTAATGGAATTGATGTGGAACTCTAGTTGTTGCAGACAGCACATCTAAACTGCAGATAAAAATGAAACATGCACTTCCTTAATGTGATGCCAGTGAAAATAATGGATTGACTGAAACTCTGCGTTAGCGGTGGAGTTTGTTATGATGTACAACTCTCCTTGGCAGGCAGAAGAGAACAAATGATTTAAAAAACATATGTTACTTCTAATATATAACATGTCTAATCCTTTTAAAACATCTTTAATCTTTAGAAGCACCAAATGGCGATGGACTTTTGGCACAACAACCAGCGGCAGGTGAGTTCAGCCTCTCTCTCTCTCTCTCTCTCTCTCTCTCTCTCTCTCTCTCTCTCTCTCTCTCTCTCTCTCTCTCTCTCTCTCTCTCTCTCTCTCTCTCTCTCTCTCTCTCTCTCTCTCTCTCTCTTACTCTCTCCAGTTCTCAGGTTCCGTTCTTTGGTTCCTAAAAGCTGCATCCACCTTGGCAAGAAATGAATTGCATCGAAATGGTGTTGTCTCTCATTGATCTGTTGGAGGAATGTATATTGATGGTGGCTTGTCCTACAGGAGGAGCCATTGTTCACGGCAGATGGTTCCCTGTTTTACCTCATTCTGCCTGCCAAGCAAGGGGCCCGTGGGGAGTTCCTCCACATCGCCAGTCTCCCCGCTCAGGTCTGTGTGTGGAATAATTTCATACTCATGCTATGCACAATGAAATTAGATGCAGTTATAAACTTCGTGATTAGAAACCTGAAGTACCAAACGTGTATGTGACTTTTTATGGCAAGTGGGAGCGATGCTGAACCCCTGTGTATTGTAAAGTCTTTCTCTCATTTTAACTGTTAGACTTTCATTTGAATAAATAGTTATGTTAATTTAGATTTTTGTAATTCTTTATTTGAAGTCATTTACAAATTTATATCATGAGTTACACAGACCAAATTTGTTCTTATATTCCTATATAAAAACATTGCATATATTAAAATTAAAATATAAAACTAAACAAATACATTGGTTTATTTATATATATATATATATATATATATGTGTGTGTGTATACAGTATATACAGCCTGTTCTCATCCCAAGGCGTCATACATGTGACGCTTTTGACATTTCGTTGAAATCTTACGCACATGGCATCCTTTAGCGTCAATATGAGACGCAGATCCCAAGGCGTCATAACCGTAACCCTACCCCAGACCTAAACCTACCCATAACAGTGCATGTTATATTGACGCTAAAGGATGCCATGTGCGTAAGATTTCGACGAAATGTCATATGGCGTCACCTATATGCGTTGGTATATACAGTGTATATATATATATATATATATATATATATATATATTCTTTATCTTCCTGTCCACTGCTTTCCATTATTCCCTGCCTTCTCTTTAAACCTAATATAAGCTTCATCTATACATATAATATACTGATGAGCCAAAACATTATGACCAGTCACAGGTGATGCAAATTCTGTTGATCATCTCCTAACAAGGCCACATATTAAGGTCTGGGTAGATTGGATTGTACGCAAACAATCAGTTCTTGTAATCAACGTGTTGGATGCAGAAGAAATGGGCAGGAATTAAGATCTGAGGGACTTGGACAAGAGCCAAATTGTTATGGCAAGGCGTCTGGGTCAGAGTATCTCTGAAACAGTAAGGCTTGCGAGTTTCTCCCGGTCAGTGGAGAGAATTTACCAACAGTGGTCCGTGGAAAGACAAACCAGAAACTGGCTACTGGGTGTTGAATGCCCAAGGCTAACTGATGCACAAGGGCAACGAAGGCCAGCCTGTCTAGAAGGTCTACTGTGGCACAAGTCACTCAAAATTTTAATGATGTTATGGGAGGAATGTCACAACATACAGTGCATTGCACTCTGCTGCATATGTGGCTGCATAGAGTAGTAGTAGCTCATAGTGCCTATGATGACCCCTGTCCACTGCCGAAAGCGCCTACAATGGGCATGTGAGTGTCGGAACTGGACCATGGAACAGTGGAAGAAGGTCATCTGGTCCGTCTTAGTTCTAGTCCTGTTTTCTTTTACATCACGTGAAAGGGCCGTGTACATGAGCGTCGTTTACCTGGGGAAGTGATGGAACCAGGATGTACTGTGGGATGACGACAAGCCGGTGGAGGGAGTGTGATGCTCTGGGCAATGTTCTTCTGGGAAACCCTGGGTCAAGCCATTCATGTGGATGAAAATTTCTCACGTGCCACCTACCTAAACATTGAGACCAGGTACACCCTTTCATTACAATGGTGTTTCCTGGTGGAAGTGGCCTCTTTCAGCAGGATACTGCACACATTGTTCAGGAATGGTTTGAGAAACATGATGAAGAGTTGAAGGTCTGGTCACATGCATCACTGGCCTCCAAATTCCCCAGATCTCAAACCAATTGAGCATCTGTGGGATGTGCTGGACCAACAAGTTCGATCCACAGTGGCTCCACCTCATATCCTACAGGACTTGAAGGATCTGCTGGTAATGTCTTTATGTCAGATCCCACAGGACACCTTCAGAGGTCTTGTAGAGTTCATGTCTTGACCAGTCAGCGCTGTTTTGGCAGCACGTGGAGGACCAACAGCATATTAGGCAGGTGTTTTGGCTCAGTGGTGTATATAAAATCTGATAATAAATAAATAAGTGAACATATACAGTACATTATTATATAATTTTTTTCTGTCATTTTTTTTAGATTGAATATTTCACATTGTCTAATGTTTCCTCGTCTTCCTGTCCACTGCTTTCCATTATAACCCGTCTTCTCTTTAGACCTCGTATAAGCTTTATCTATATCTCCTTCTCTTTCTTTTTCTTCAGGCTTCCACTCCTTCTGTATCTCCTCGCTTTCTAACGTCAGGAAACTGGGATGTAACCTCGCTGTGCGCTCTTGATGAGGAGAACGATAAAATGTATGACAGATCGAATTTTATGAGCAAACCATTTTGACTCAAAAGCCTCAAGACTGTGTCGTAAAACATCTCATAGTCAAACAAACTACCTAATACGAGTAATTATAGAATTATTTACGTCTAGCAATCCCATTTATCCCACTGAATCAGCATAGATGGCACTTAATTAAAATTAATACAGTAATTGAATGTTGAATTGACTGTAATGACTCTGTCATTTTCTCCCGGCTTTGTTCTCTAATTGCAGCCACATAAAACAAACTCTCTTGAAAAAACCATCCCAGAAGTGATGGCTTTTTCAGAAAAAAAAATTCTTTTTTATCTTTTCAATGCATGAATATTTATAAATAGTCAGATCTATAGCTCAAATCAAAGTTTAGGCCCGTAAATCAATGACTTACAATTAATCTGGTACTGACAGAAATGAATGCATGTCACAGTCTTCCCTACTTTGCATGTGTAACAGATAGGCAATATGTGGAAGTAGACTCTATTATTAAAGGATAAATGACTGACTACATAGTAACTCAAAAAACCTTTTGAGATTTCCTTAATGTGTTTTTCCCCTGTAGCTATTTTCTGAGCACGGAGGAGTCGCAGCAGAGTAGACACTTATACAGGTGGGTTCTGTCCCAAGCGATATGTCTTTTAAGCTGTAATTGAGTATTTTATCATCACTGTCTAGGAATTCTGGACCTCTCATGCTGTGCTGCGCATTTGCATCTAAATCAGTCTGACAGCAAGCATTTGCACACCCTGTTGTGTTGTGAGATATTTAATTTCCTCAATATGTTTGTGGGTTTTGGACGTCCATATCATCATTACATGTTGATATTCTTTATGCGTATTGACGCTCCAGTTTCTCAGTATGTATGTTCATCGATGACTTGTGCTGTAATCAATTAAAACCTTCCAGTTTACATCGAAATGTATCTGAGATGGATTTTCGGGGACATTCGTGAAAATCCAATAGGGTTTTTTTTTTTTTTTACCCCTAGTGAGCTCCAGGCAAGAAGCCCAGCTAATTCATTTAACAGAAACGGCAGCTTAGAGAGCGAGAGCAAGAGGGAGAGAGAGATGGAGAAGGTTGAAAAGGAGACGGGCAGAGGGGGAGGTGCTGCGCCTTACAAAGATTTAAATGGTGTTCTCTAACCTTTGATTAATGCTTTAAGCCTCTCACTTGCTCTCCATGGGCCACAATTTCTCATAGATTTTTTATTGCGACCATCCGAGCAATATATGGCGAAAGTGCAAAGGTCCAGCATTGGGCTTAAAGCAAGTGGATAATGGAAAACTAGCTCAGCGTGTGTGTTTCACATACTGGAAGTTATAGGGATAGTTAAGCCAAAAATGTTATCGTTTTCATTCAAAGGTCTTTAAGATTTATTTTATCAAGGATGCATTCAATTTATCAAAAAGGGACAGTAAAGACATTTAAAGTTGAAAAAAGTTAACACTAAAAAGTTTAGTGTTCATTTTATGCTTCCTGAATTTGGCAATCCTGGTCAATATATGCTTTCATTTTATGGAAAAGAGCAGCATGAACATCATTAACTCTTGTGCTCTGTTGAAAATCCTTTACCTAATTTGGTGTTCCCAGTCAAAAATACTGCCCTTTTAAATGTCCCATTATGCTATTTTATGATCAAATATTCTTGTTTTCTTTTAATTAGAACAGGTTTTGTATTCTTTTTGGAACTGATTGATCGTAGGCCTTATTCACCTCAAAAAAACGGAGAAATGCAAAACCTCCCCCAATTGAAAGAAAACAAGCTGATAAAAAGATTGTATCCATTTTTTGGCAATAACATAGCATAGCAAAATATTTAAGTATTATTTGTAGGTCGACATTTTTGACTGGTAATACCACAAGTGTAAGGAAGAAGGTAGGGAAAACATGCACACAAATGATCAAATTATTTTTGAGAAGTTGATATACCCTGTGTGAGCAAATTCAGTAAGTTTTAGTCCAATGTGTTAAAAATGACTAGCATTTTTGGGGGAAATAAAATACACTCCAAATCAAAATGACCAGAGCACAACCAGAGGGTTAAAAATGTTTCATTTTGGTTTCACAGAAGAAGGCCAGACAGGTTTATAAAGACATGAGGTGGAGTAAATTATGACTGTGTTTATTTTTGTACTGAAGAAAACGGCATTTAAAGTGTGATTGTCATTGATGGTAGTAGCGGCTCCTGACCGTAAATTTAGGCAGATTCTGGGTCTGGCGCTAGTTTATGATAAACATTTTGTAAGTTGTATATTCTAATCGCTGTACAAACACTTTTAGCAGAGGTTGATGGCATTAAGATGATGGGTTTTAAAATAATGAAATGCATGCTTGTTGACTAGTGTGGAGCTTGGAGGAGTGTTTCATCGCCAGTGTCTGACATGCAACCTGTTTGAGCGATGCAGCTTCTTCAAAGCGGACTTCAGCCACAATCAGACATACTTTACCCTCTATTGCTTGGGTAAGGTCACTGACTCTCTCAAATATTACATTTAGGTGGATGAATAAAGATGCACGTCTCATCTCTGTCATACTTTTACAGGCCCAGGTGTCCCAAAGGTGACCATTCACAGCACAAGTGATCCATCCAGTGAGTAGAATTAATACTTTCCTCATTACAAGCTGTTATTTAGTCAGCCATGTGTGGCTGTAGGAAAGAAAGATTTTGATTACTAATAAAATTGTGTCAAAAAAGTAGACAAATATTTTTTATAAATGCACCCTAGTGAACATTTTTCCGCTTCTAAGGCAAGTATTACTTTTATTATTGTTCATACTTAGGGTTAGGAACTCAAATAAACCCACAATCCTACGTAAAAATGCGTAATTCATCTAGGATGTTGTTTTACTATGAACATAAATGTTAAATTCAATTGTAATTGACTTCTTAAAGGGTTAGTTCACCCAAAAATGTAAATGATGTCATTAATTACTCACCCTCATGTCGTTCCAAACCCATACTATTTTTGTTAATCTTCAGAACATGTCCCTCCATAGACAGCTGATGCAACTACTACTTTGATGCTTAAAAAAATTCATAAAGAGATCGTAAATCTAATCCATATGAATTAAGCGGTTTAGTCCAAATTTTATGAAGAGACTTGATCGCTTTATATGATGGAACAGATTGAATTTAGGCTTATTTACATATAAACATTCATCAACTCACACATCAGTTGTGGTAAATGGAAGCTCAAGCTTGTTTTTTGAGCTTCCACAAGGACCAATGAGGATCATTCTTGTGTTACGCAGCAGTTTTGAGCTTCCACAAGGACCAATTAGGTTCATTCTCGTGTGTTACGCAGCACGTTTGAGCTTCCACAAGGACCAATGAGGTTAATTCTCGTGTGTTACGCAGCAGTTTTGAGCTTACACAAGGACCAATGAGGTTAATTCTCGTGTTAAGCAGCAATTTTGAGCTTACACAAGGACCAATGAGGTTCATTCTCGTGTGTTACGCAGCAGTTTTGAGCTTACACAAGGACCAATGAGGTTAATTCTCGTGTTAAGCAGCAATTTTGAGCTTACACAAGGACCAATGAGGTTCATTCTCGTGTGTTACGCAGCAGTTTTGAGCTTACACAAGGACCAATGAGGTTAATTCTCGTGTTAAGCAGCAATTTTGAGCTTACACAAGGACCAATGAGGTTAATTCTCGTGTTAAGCAGCAATTTTGAGCTTACACAAGGACCAATGAGGTTCATTCTCGTGTTACGCAGTAGTTTTGAGCTTCAGCAAGAACCAATAAGGTTCATTCGCGTGTGTTACGCAGCAGTTTTGAGCTTCAGCAAGAACCAATGAGGTTCATTCTCTTGTTACACAGTAGTTTTGAGCTTCAGCAAGAACCAATGAGGTTCATTCTCGTGTTACGCAGTAGTTTTGAGCTTCAGCAAGAACCAATGAGGTTCATTCTCGTGTTACGCAGTAGTTTGAGCTTCAGCAAGAACCAATGAGGTTCATTCTCGTGTTAAGCAGCAGTTTTGAGCTTCAGCAAGAACCAATGAGGTTCATTCTCGTGTTACACAGTAGTTTTGAGCTTCAGCAAGAACCAATGAGGTTCATTCTCGTGTTACGCAGTAGTTTTGAGCTTCAGCAAGAACCAATGAGGTTCATTCTCGTGTTACGCAGTAGTTTTGAGCTTCAGCAAGAACCAATGAGGTTCATTCTCGTGTTACGCAGTAGTTTTGAGCTTCAGCAAGAACCAATGAGGTTCATTCTCGTGTTACGCAGTAGTTTGAGCTTCAGCAAGAACCAATGAGGTTCATTCTCGTGTGTTACGCAGCAGTTTTGAGCTTCAGCAAGAACCAATGAGGTTCATTCTCGTGTTACGCAGTAGTTTTGAGCTTCAGCAAGAACCAATGAGGTTCATTCTCGTGTTACGCAGTAGTTTGAGCTTCAGCAAAAGAACCAATGAGGTTCATTCTCGTGTTACGCAGTAGTTTGAGCTTCAGCAAGAACCAATGAGGTTCATTCTCGTGTTACGCAGTAGTTTGAGCTTCAGCAAAAGAACCAATGAGGTTCATTCTCGTGCTACGCAGTAGTTTGAGCTTCAGCAAGAACCAATGAGGTTCATTCTCGTGTTACGCAGTAGTTTGAGCTTCAGCAAAAGAACCAATGAGGTCCATTCTCGTGTGTTACGCAGTAGTTTTGAGCTTCAGCAAGAACCAATGAGGTTCATTCTCGTGTTACGCAGTAGTTTGAGCTTCAGCAAAAGAACCAATGAGGTTCATTCTCGTGTTACGCAGTAGTTTGAGCTTCAGCAAGAACCAATGAGGTTCATTCTCGTGTTACGCAGTAGTTTTGAGCTTCAGCAAGAACCAATGAGGTTCAATCTCGTGTTACGCAGTAGTTTTGAGCTTCAGCAAGAACCAATGAGGTTCATTCTCGTGTTACGCAGTAGTTTTGAGCTTCAGCAAGAACCAATGAGGTTCATTCTCGTGTTACGCAGTAGTTTGAGCTTCAGCAAGAACCAATGAGGTTCATTCTCGTGTTACGCAGTAGTTTTGAGCTTCAGCAAGAACCAATGAGGTTCATTCTCGTGTTACGCAGTAGTTTGAGCTTCAGCAAAAGAACCAATGAGGTTCATTCTCGTGTTACGCAGTAGTTTGAGCTTCAGCAAAAGAACCAATGAGGTTCATTCTCGTGTGTTACGCAGTAGTTTTGAGCTTCAGCAAGAACCAATGAGGTTCATTCTCGTGTGTTACGCAGTAGTTTTGAGCTTCAGCAAGAACCAATGAGGTTCATTCTCGTGTTACGCAGTAGTTTGAGCTTCAGCAAAAGAACCAATGAGTTTCATTCTCGTGTGTTACGCAGTAGTTTTGAGCTTCAGCAAGAACCAATGAGGTTCATTCTCGTGTGTTACACAGCAGTTTTGAGCTTCAACAAGAACCAATGAGGTTCATTCTCATGTTACGCAGCACGTTTGAGCTTAAGCAAGGACCAATGAGTACCAATCAGGGTAAAAGACTAAATTCAATTTTTTCATCATAAAAAGTAATCAAGTCTCTTCAGAAAATTTCAGAAAATAAACCGCTCAATTAATATGGATTTGTTTTACGATCTCTTTATGAACTTTTTGAAGTGTCAAAGTGGTTGTTGCGTAGCTGTCAATGGAGGGAAAGAAAGCTTTCAGATTTCATTAAAAAGATCTTTATTGTGTTCCGAAGATGAATGCCTCCCTAAGCTTCCAAAGGAAGTACATTTTTGTTGCACCTAATGACACGTTATATCAATATATAGGTTATAATCAATTAATAAACCTTGCTTATACGAAGAAACCTTTCTCATTTGCTCATTGTCGATCATGATAGGTGAGTGGTTGCCCACTATGTGACACTGAAGACTGGAGTAATGATGCAGAAAATTCAGCTTTATAATTAATAAATAATTTGTTACATTTATATAGTGCTTTTCTGGGTACTCAAAGCGCTTTACATGGAAGGGGGAATCTCCTCAACCACCACCACTATACAGCATCCACCTGGATGATGCAACGGCAGCCATATTGCTCCAGAACGCCCACCACACACCAGCTTACTGGTGGAGAGGAGACAGTGATGAAGCCAATCAGTATATGGGGATGATTAGGCCATGATGGACAGAGGCCAAGGCCAAAGCAACACCCACTCAGCCACTCACATTTGCTTTAGAAAATGATTCTTTCAAGAAAATAGATTGTTTTAGTGTGAAAGCACCCCACTGAGTATTTTTAGAGTTTGTTGTAGTGAGAGAGTTCACTAAAACATCTAAAAGGGCTGCATGATATCTTTTACATTTTATTATCTGGCTTCATCCTTTATTTCATAGTCTTAACATTTAAATACTCCATGGTGGTGGATCGTTCTGGTTTTATGCCAAAAATATATTCAGTCTGTGTGCTGCATTTACAGGTTACATGCTGGTGGAAGACAACAGCCTCCTCGCTATGTCTCTTGAAACCAAGAGGCTCTCTGAGACCGTTTTCCAGACGCTTTCCTCCGACAACAGCGGTAAAAAGATTTCTTAAGTAACTGATTACATTCCTCCTTTCAGCATAAATTGATCTCAACCTTTTACAAAGCCAACTAGATTTAAGAATCAATCAGGTAATTGTTCTGGTTTTGCTAATTGGATCCTCACAGCGGTACCTGCCTTTAGGGGAAGCCCATTGTGGCTTGTTTGCGTGTGTGTTTTTGCTTGTATGATGGGGTTTGCACATGTACACATCTCTGTATATAAATTGCACATGCTTTTTGCATCAGGTCCCCCGACTGTGTTTGTTTGCGCACATGTGTGTGTGTTACTGAGAGTCTGTTAAAACCAACAGGCTCATGGGAGCTTATTTGCCAGTAGTTAGAATATTGATGAGCCGGGACCAAGACTTTCTTGCAGTATGGTACAGTAGAAACGGCCATTTGTTCTGTTTTAACTGCCTTTGCTAATAATTACAGATCTAGATCTGAAGATGTCCCTGCCCCCTGGGTACGAGGGAAACCTGCACCCTCTCCTTATTATCATGTAAGTGTCTCCCCGCACTTCACCAGCGCCTGCATGATATTGTTAGTAAGGCTGCTTTATTAAGTATGGAAGCCCATTTATGCTTTAAAATAAAATGTAAGACCTTATATAAAAGGTATATAAGATTTTAAATGTTTTTGAAAGTAGACTCTCTTATGCTTACCAAGGCTGTATTTATTTGATCACAAATACAGTAAAAACAGAAATAGTGTGAAATATTATTACAATTTAAAATAACTCTTTTCTATTTGAATATATTTTAAAATGTAATTTATTCCTGTGATGGCTAAGCTGAATTTTCAGCATCATTACTCCAGTCTTCAGTGTCACATGATCCTTCAGAAATCGTTCTATGTTGATTTCCTGCTCAAGAAACATTTCTTATTATTATCAATTTTGAAAACAGTCGTGCTGCTTAAAGGGATTGTAGCATCATTTACTTATGTTGTTCCAAACCTGTACGAGTTTCTTCCTTCTGTTGAACACAAAAGTAGATATTTTGAAGAATGTTGGGAACCAGACAGTTGATGGCAGCCATTGACTTCCATAGTATTTTTTTTCCTGCTATGGAAGTCAATGGCTACCATCAACTGTCTGGTTCCCAACATTCTTCACAATCTTCTTCTTTTGTGTTCAACGGAAGAAGGAAACTCATACAGGTTTGAAACAACTTGAGGGTGAGTAAATTATAACAGAATTCAAATTTTTGGGTGAACTATCCCTTTAATATTTTTGTGGAAACTGTGATGTATTTTTTTCTGGATTCTTTTTCATGAAATATAATTTTTTAGAACATTAGAAATGTTTTTACTGTCAACTTCAATTTAATATCTCCTTGCTGAACAAAAGTAAACGTTTCTGTTAAAAAAAAAACAATTTTAACTTAATTTAATTTGAGATAAAAAGTAATAAACATGACAAATACATTTGCAACTAGGAGAAAAATGTGAGATTTGTGAGATATGAAGTCACAATTTTGAGAAGTTAAGTCATAGAACCTTTTTTTATTATTATTTTGAGGTACGAACTTCCATAGTAATTACAATTAACAAACATTCAGTTTTTTTCAAAAGCATAATAATCATAATTAAGCTCCTCTTAATAAAATATATTTGCATACTGAATTGTATTTAGTCTTCTTGGCATATATTAAACTTAAATACTGCATCCCACAATGCAATGCACTCGACTTGACCTTCCATTTCTAGTGTGATGGATGAACCAGAAGTAATGCTAGTTTTTTAAATTTTTTAAATAATTTTAAATAATAGTAGTTAAAATTGCAACGTTAGAAGGGACAAGAATGTAGCATGCTACTTTTTAAAACGACCATGCTGAGCTAATGCTTACTGTTTTACTTGCAATTTTTTATACTGTACCATATACTACTAAGTAATAATAAGCCAGTGTTGCATTCAGAAAACAAGATACTTGACAGTGACAAAGCAGCTCTAATTTTCAGCATATAGAACTTCTTTTGCTGCCTTGCAAGCAGCTATATCTCCTTGTGGAAATGCAAATCTAGTTAAGACTCTCCCTCACCGTAGTTGGTTAGGCTACATGATTTATGAATGCTGCGTTATTAATAAGCAATATGCACATGCTTGATTGAGATGCAAGAAGTGTTCAGCAAGTGTTAATGTCTTTTTAATCTACAATGTGACACTGTGTCAACACCTCCATCCATCCATTGTTCTCTGCACCTCTAGTGACAGTATTCCTGGCGGGGAGTCGGTAACAGAGGAGTTTACCCTGGGCTGGCCGGAGGTTTTGTCCAGCCTGCATGGAGTGGCGCTGGCCTGGATCGACGGCAAAAGCCGGGCCTCACAGGGACAGAAAAGCAGCATCCTGGACCCTCGTAAACTGGGCTCCCTCCGCATTAAAGACAAGCTTGGAGTCGTGGAGTGAGTCATTCTCTCTTATCGGTTATTAAGAATAATACCTGTAATAGAAAAGTCATTTTGCACATTACGCCACAAAATATCTGATTAGGAAAAGCTTTATGCTCTAAAGCAGAGGCTGGGTTTTCTTCCATATTTTGTTGAACGCTTGCTTGGCTAATTTAATTGAACCTACTTCTTGCTCAAGGCGATGTGTATGTCTTAGCAGAGTTAATACATTGGCTGCTTTTAAAAGACCAGCCATTTATCATAACTGCTTAATGGCTCCTAAAATTTGCATGTTTCATAACAGATGGTTAATGCAGCTGCCGTACATTGATGGGAGAAGAATTGCTGTTTATGGAAAGGTAAAATATATGTTGTGCAAATTTAGAGTGCAAGCTCTAACATCTGATTGGATGAGGATTTGAATAAATAGCTGTTTTTTGCATGTTGGCAACTGCAAACAGCCTATGAGCTATATAGCACCTTAGCAATGTATTAAAAACACTCAAAACACCTTAGCAACTGCATAGCAATGCCCTGGCAAACACCCCTGACATTCTAGTACTGCAAGCTCCACCCATATTTTAAAACCCGTGTTTAAAAACCAGATAAACAGCATTACAGTGATTTTTTTTGTGGTTAATGGTGTTTTGGTGTTGCATATCTCCAAATAGCAGCACTTAAAAGTGGTCAAACCAATCTAAAGGCCTCTCAAGGCCTATTGCTTTAATACACATCTTCTAAGCAATTGAATCCCTTTGTAGACTTGCATCATATTCTCACTTAGGATATGTACTTTGAATTCAGTCTTCAGTTGCAGAGCTCTGACATCAGCCTTGATTTGTCCTCACAGGGATTCGGTGGCTATTTAGGTTTGAAGATGTTGACTGCAACCGATCAGATGTTCAAATGTGCCGCTGTCATGGCTCCCATCACAGACTTCAAGCTCTATAGTGAGTTCCAGCTCCATACACTAGCAAAAACAGCACTATGGAAGAACAGTATTTCTGGACATTCTTTGAAGTGCCTTGGAGTACTTCAAAATACCATGGTATGTGATATGGTAATCATTCAGTCCCATGGTATATATCAAAGTGTCCTAGTACTACTTTTTTACATTTAAGAAATGGTATAATCTGTAGTGTGCTAACAGTTTAATTTCAGATTTATGTGTGAAATTGGATTCAACCTTTTTTTTTAGGTGCTGCCTTCTCAGAGAGATATCTAGGCCTTCCAACTAAAGACGAGCACTCATACACGGTGGGCTTTTCGCATCAATAACTTTTTTATTCATTATGATGCTTATTTGCGCTCCAGAGTAAAAAATAATAATAAAAAAGGTAATTGTGAGATTAAGTGTAAAATAAGACAAGTTGCATTGTGACAAAGTTACAGTTAAAAGAAACAAAGTCACAATTGTGGCATAGTGTTACAGTTACAAGAAAAAAAGTCTCATTGTGACAGTTACGGTTACTAGTATCAAAGTCACAATTGTGACAGTTGTTACAAGAAACAAATACACAATTGAAACATACACAGTTACAGTTATGAAAAACAAAGTCACAGTTGTGAGATTTAAAGTCAAATTGTGACAAAGTTAGTTACAATAGCTTTCATTGTGACAAAAAGTTACATTGTAACTCACATTATATACATTATAAAGTCACAATTGTGAGATTTAAGGTCACATTGGCAGGTAATTGAGAGCAAAAACAAAAATCACAATTTTGAGATTTAAAGTCACTTTGTAATATAAAATCACAGTTTTTTATACCCAAAATTGGATATAAAGTCACATTTGGGAAAAATAAAACTACAATTACCTTTTTATATAGTGATTGAGATACCAATATAAAATCTAAAGTCACGCGTTTCTGTTGTGTCTTTGCAGACTGCGTCTTTGTTGGACAACATCAATACGCTTAAAGACGAAAACTTCCTCCTCATACATGGGACTGCAGATGGTTAGCTTACAAAATAATGAAATTTAAAATCAGATACATCATTTGTGGATTTTAAGTAATATTTGACTTGTTTGTGTGTGTTTAGCGCGGGTGCATTTCCAACACAGCGCTGAGTTGTTGAGTCGTCTGGTGAAGGTAGAGGCCAACTACACCCTTCAGCTGTACCCAGATGAAGGCCACACCTTAAGAGAAGAGCGGAGCAATCAACACCTGCACCGCTCCCTCCTTCAGTACCTCCACAACTGCCTCAAATACGACCCCTTCCTCATCACAGAGGAGGAAGAGGAGGAGGACGAGGAGGAAGAGTGATCTCTGTGTCCTCTCTCGGTCCTCAAAGGTGCCCATTACGGTGACTAACTTCAGGTTGCATTTTTTCACCAAAGGAAAAGGGATCAAAATGGAGATCAAGAGGACCAAATCCAGCAGCTATTCACCACAAACTCAACTTTGGGATGTTTTTTTGTTTTTTTGTTTTTTTTTAGACTGCAACCGTAAATGTCTCCTGTGTGTCCAGGAAGATGAAACACAACTGCTCTGGTTCAAACAGTTTTCAAGTAAATCACACACAGTATAATGTCTAAGGACAATCAACATATTTAGTCAGTTTATGTATAAAATGGGTAAAAGATGCTGCATAGGCATGTTGATCAGCCTTGATGTTGTAGCGACACCTTGTGTTGAGAGAGAACTAATGTTTTGTCCAGCATGGAAAGTGAAGTTGGAAATACTAGTACAGTGTTGTTATTGTTTTACTAATACTATTAAAAGTCATTTTGTTAATTGAAAGCTAAAGTTAAGCTATAGCTGAAATCAATACAATATGAATAGTAGAACTTAAAAAGAAAATTAGAAATGTTGTTTTGGCAACTTAGTATAGTAAGTTGTACTGAAGTACTAAAACATTTAAATAGTTATAAATTAAAGCTAGATAGATATATTTAAAAATGATAAAATTACTAAAACTTAAACTAAAATTAAAGCTGAACATAAAAATAAAACCAAATACAAAATATTAAATACTATAATAGTATAATCTATAAAAGAAGAGTGGATGATAATGCTGATAGGTACTACAATAATGACTGCAAATGAGATTGCTGACATGAAATTATTGCCCGTTTTAAACAATATTTATTTAAAATTCACAAAAAAAAAATCAGAAGTAGTTTCCAATTCATTGACCAAAGCGAACATCTGTTAATCAGCCAAACAGACATTGTTATTGGCTGTAAATGGCCAGTGTTTTGGTCTACCCTATACTGTGGAAGATTTGATTGAATGTAAACTGCAACATGTTATTTGAACCTGGTTCTTTATATGCATGACAAATCGGCTGCATGGTGCTGTATACTCTGACTCTTTCATAATATCTGTGCCAAACGCAAAAGAAATTGATGATAAAAATGTAGAAATTGCATACAGTGTGCTAAACCAAAGCGCACAGTGTGCACAGACAGCGAGTTTTAAACATCTCCAAAGCATTGTGGTATAAGTACACAGGCTGTCCTTGCTGTAAGGGTACAAAATCAATGAATCACACTGCATGCTGCTGTTTACAGAAGCCTCATAAGCTCTCTCCAGCATACATCATATCTCTTCATAAACGTCAAGCCCTACTGTGTGCAGTTTCACTCCGAGAGTAGGTTTACTATATTTTAGCAAACACAACTTCCGCTGCCATTGTCATGCATATGCAGATTTTATGTTTACAGATCAAATGTGCCAAATACTCTGTGACCAAACCTTTTGGTACTGACTTATGTTACAGTTTTGAATGTGGCAGTTTGTGCATTTAGTAAAAACATTTTTTGTTTCTTTAAAAAAAAAAATGTGTGCAGCGTTTCATTAATTTATATTTGTGACAAAAATGTCCTGTGGTGGTACCATGGTAAAGTTATTGGTTGGTAATAACAGAGTACTTTTATATACACCATGGTACTGAATTATGTCCGTAAAAGCATGTATTTGCATACATGCTTTTATATGCACTACCGTTCAAAGCTTTGGGGTCAGTAAGGTATTATTAAAGAAATTAATACTTTTATTCAGCAAGGATGCATCTGTTTCAAATAAATACGGTTCTTTTGAACTTTCTTTATTCATCAAAGAATTATGAAAACAAATTATCATGGTTTCCACAAAAATATTAAGCACCATACTGAATTACTACAATAATTAGAAATGTTCCTTGCGCAGCAAATCAGCATATTACACTTTTTTAAATATAAAAAAATCGTACTGACCCTAAACTTTTGAACAGTAGTCTTTATCGATATATGCAGGTTTGAGAATCCAGAAGTTCACCAGCTCATAGCACAGTGACATACTATTTTTTTAAACACCATAAACTAATGATGATAATGATTATGAGAAAACAGTTTGGCAAAAAAAAAAAAAACTATTTTAAGTATTTTAAAGTTTCTAGTCATAGAACACAAGACATCAGTCATCAACCTTCTCATTCACCAATCAAAAAATTATTTTATTAAACCTATTTTTTGTGACCTTCATGTATTGCTGAAATGTATATGTAGAAACCTTGTAAGTTCTGTGTGTTGACATTGTGATGCAACTAAGCAAGTTACATATCTCAGAATGTTCTGTTGTGTTGTAGGTCCAAGAAAATCCTTCCTACCAGAGCAATGACAATGTTACAGGCAGCATGAAGTCTGAAATGAACGTCCTTGAGCCTCTGTATCTATATATTTGTATCTAATGACCCTTTTCCAATAAAGTCTGAAATCTTTGTGTACATGCAGTTTCAAGTCATTGCAGGACGATGCACATATCTAAGCAGCCAAAGGAATGGAATTCACATCAGACTGGCAGCTGATATTGACATAATTCAAACCTTTATTGAATATTGTTCATTTTAAAGACACGTAATTTTGGAGATACGTTCTATATTTGTGTAGGTCACGGTGCCCTTACATTTACAAAATTAACAAAGAAACTATTAAAAAAAAACTACACATGACTTTACATGAGCATATCTGTCATTCTATTTCTAGACAGGCAGTTTAAAGAACAACCTACAGCTGAACGAATACGTCTGAATAATTAATGAACGTTCTATCCTTGAGCCAATCAAATGAAAAAGCGATGAGACTTGTCGCCAATCAAAATTATTTTTCTCCTTTTCAACCAATCAGAACACGTCTCGCAGTTCCATCCTCACCAGGACCTAGCTGACTCAAACCGCGCCTACAACAGGCCCTCGAGTTCCTTTTTCAACCTTCACTGCGAGCACGGTAGCGAGAGGGGCACCTTCAAGCAGGGGTCGATAAAGAACCACTTATAATATTTATACACACATAAAAGAACAATGTCCTTCCTCTCTATCAGCAGACTAGCCCCAAGGCTCCTCAGTTCAAAGGTAGGAAAGTTTTATTTTAACTTAAGTGAGGGAAACACTGGCTGCTACCTGGTTAGGTTAGCTTAGCTTAGCATAGATTACCGTAGTGACAGATAGCCAGTAATAATAAACCATATCGATCATCTACTTTAGGTCATTTATGCATGAAAGTGACATATTCTGTTTTTGTTTCCCCCTCATATAACTCTATATTTAAATAAGTGTCTGTCTTTCAATACCAATTGTGCTTGACTACATAGGCTAGGCTTTCAAAAATGTTATCAGACGTTCAAAATTGTGTTTGAACTTTAAAAGCGCACTTCAAGCAAGCTGTCAAAATTGAGGCACAGCCAATATAAAGTTGTGTTTTAAGAATGGTTTCATTTAGCTATATAAAGATACATGACAAATAAACCCGTTATATTTGGTTGACTGAGGTGTTTCTGATATTCACGCGATTCTGAAGCCCAGTTGTGTACGTTAGTTGACGTCCTTTCACATGAAATTAAACACTTTAACCAGTTTCAGTTGATCTAATGTAACTAAAATTGAACAGTCACTTTGACATCTTCGATCTGCACCTGTTTAGCCGTAGTCTGAGACAGGTCAGTCTTCTTGTTTTTCTCTGTGGCTGACTTGACCTTCAGAATTGTCATTCATTTATTAATATTTTAATAGTTTCAATAGTTTGCGGAGTTGCTAGATCATTATAATTGCACCATAATAGGGTTATTAAGAGTTTATATAGGGTTTGTGCATTGTCTACTTTGTATCAAGGTTTCACCTACTCACTCACTAGTGCAGTACTATAATATACATATATACACATACCCCAGTTTGAAAACCCATGATCTAGTTTCTAAAACCTTGCGACATTATGGAATTTGCATAATGTGAAAAATGAGCATGAGTAGTTTCCTGAATGATGACCTGTTTAGGCTTTTGTTGCCATTCTTTCAAGTTCTGTGATTTCCAAAGTCACAAGCCATACATATTTTATTCCTCAATATAGTTATGTTCTCCTTGATCTGAAATGTCTTGAATGATATGTGTGACTGGTGATGTTAAACACGTCACATCTAGATTGTGATGAGAAAAAATGAGTGGAAAAAGTGTCACTTATATATATATATATTAGGGGTGTAACGGTACACAAAAATCACGGTTCGGTACGTACCTCGGTTTTAAAGTCACGGTTCGGTACGTTTTCGATACAGCAAAAAGTAAGAAATGCCAGAGAAATTTCCTATTTGTTAAAAGAAAAAATATTTTTTAAATAAGTGAGTTTTCCTACATCTTGAAACTTTCAGGTTTATAAATGGGGGTCATCTTTGAAGGATGAACAAATAATGTTTTGGTCATCACATTAAAAATAACATTTAAATATATGAAGAGTTTAGATGCAAAAGCCATTTGAAATTTTCTTTTAGAATGATCATTTTTATCAAGCTTGTATATTTAAGTTCAGTAATTTCAATGAAGATTGCCTATTAATTGTCATTTGAGTGAAATTACTGAACTTAAATGTACAAGCTTCATAAAAATGATCATTCTAGAAGAAAATTTCAAATGGCACTTATAGAGGCTTTTGCATCTGAACTCTTCATATAGGCTATTTATTTATATAATATTTGAGTTTTGAAGTGCTGGAAAAAGATGTGTGAAGTACTTGAAAGCAGTTCACTATTCCAGCCAAACTGGTTACAGTTAGTGTTACTATATTAAATCCATGGTGAATGTTGCTGGTCTGTGGACGTTAAGTATTACTAGTTCATTCACGGCACAATGTTTCTCCTGGTGTCCACGTCAGCGCTGTTTGATCTAATAGAGATCTACGGTTAATAACGGAGAAATGTGAATGCTTCTCACTAGATCTCGCAGCGATGTTATTACTTCAGTGGCGAATTCAAATGTTTTCTTCACTGGATCTTAGCGCTGTGTTGTAACGGTTGTAACAGTGTCGCTTGATCGAGATCGGCTCCCGCTGCACAGATGCTGCTGGTCCGAACTGATAAACGATCCGTGAAGCACAATAGCGCAGTTTCGTTCCGCTTTCATTACGCTTGCCATTTGATGTTGCGCAACGTTGTGGTGATCGCGCCAGCGCGAATTTTGTCGGCAGGAAAAATGGTCCAAGGAATCGTTCGGTTTGTATGCGTACCGAACCGAAAGCCTCGAACCGAAACGGTTCAATACGAATACATGTACCGTTACACCCCTAATATATATATACCTAAAGAAACCTGCACTTATCCATATACTGTCTCAGTTGTGTCGGAATGACTTTATGGTAATATAGGTCACTGTGCTCTTGTCATTCAGGGTTAACCCTCCGTTCACACCCCTAGATGACCTGTGTACACCATGAATAGTTTATCTGCCTTCTCTTCTGCAGTGTATTACATTTATGTAATCTGCTGATTGTCAGTTCATAGGAGTGACCAAGGTGCATTTCTGTACTGTACTTACATAATTATCCTTTTTTATTGGTAATGTGTTGGACCTTGTTCAGACCTAGTAGTCTGCTTTGTAAACACTTGAAGTAAGTAGACTTAAATGACACTGCTGGGAGATTTGCTTAGCTATGTGAATGGATTTTTATGCAGTGGTACCATAAAGAGCTGTTCCTGATAAAGCATTCAGATGGTGGACAACTACTTCAGCACGTCTGACCCGTCTGACACAGCTCTGTCCACCTGTCATCTGCTTTGAGTATAGAAAAACAAGGTGTTTTCATCTAAACAAAGCACAGAGGGGTTTTGGAAGTCAATAGAGCATTACCTGTCAATCTTTTATACATTTTCCCTTCCTAAAGAAAACTCACAAAGAGTCCTTTGTCTGTGCAGGATTTACACCATATGGTATTAGTGATCCCTGCTAACACGCCTTGTGTCTGTTCTGCATATAGGCTGGCTCCGTAGAATAGTCTGTGCTGCAGTAGTCACAATAGGAAATGAGTCAGAAGTCAAAGAGATGTCTAAGATTGCCAGCTGGCCAGTATCCTTTGCACATGCACTAGGCCTATTCTCTGCAGCATTTGTGACGTGGTCCTCCTTACCTTGATGCTGTTGCCAAGGTTATTGTTATATAGCATACATTGCACCATAGGATTTGTAGTTGTGCATTTAATTTTACATGTTTGAGTTGTCCTTGTAGAAGAACAGTCACATTTTCCTCCAAAAATGTAATGTAGCATTTTTATTATTAAAGCTAAATATATAATTTTTTTGCCGCTAGGGGTCGCTAAACTCTTACAATAACAAAGGCGTAGATTGATGACGCATAAGCGGAATTATGGAACTTGTCGTCATGCTGATGGATCTAATAATGTTTATGGATGAGTGAATACATTGTTTTTTAACATGACTGTGGTATGAAGCAGGTCGCGATTGTAATAAGAGACAGATATCAGTGCCACATGTGAGTCCCGTGGATATAAAGGAATAAGGACATTTCATTCTACTTAACTTCCCACAAGTGCTGAATTACTAGTACTCACACAGGTCAGTTTATTTGACGAATTAAACTTGAGGTAACACAGATCTGTTTCACTTGGTCTACACTATCACACTAAACAGCATTTGAGTGAGTTAAAAGTTATAATGTTATTCTATGTGTATGTTTGTTGGCTATATGTGACTAGCAGTGAGCTAGATCAACATTAGAATAACATACTGATCATATTCTTACATTTCATCATGTTGAGCTATATAACATTGATTAGTTTTATGTACATTTGCTCACCTGTCTAATAAAGTACATGCAAGAGCGGCGCCTCTGTCAAGTCGAAGTTTGTCACTGACGTGAAGCTCTCGATAACGCCATGCCGATATTGATCCTCGTTTTAGTTCTCCTTTTGTCCCAAAGTCTGCTTGCCATGGTCCATAATGTTTGAACAAAACAACAACAGCGTGAGCGTGCCGCTAGACGTAACGCAGTTGTCCACGTCTGTCGCCATGGTTATTATGGCAGTACAAGCGGAAACCAGGGATAACGCGGATATTACGTCATTGACAGGCGACAATGACAAGGGACGAGCCATTATTTAAAATGTAGAGATGCACCGATTACAATTTTCAAGGCCGATTCCGATTTTAGCCGATTCCGATTTCCTTTTTTTAAACCACTTTACAGCACACACAAATATTTATTTTCTATCTTCTCTTTAATAGAACATTTTGCATAGAACATTTTTTTAACAGATAATCGCTATAAAATAGGACTATATAAATTACTCCTGGTGTGGGAAATTCACACACATCTAATGTGCAGTGTTATGGAAGAACCATTTCCTTTTCACATCCAATATCCAACTATAAAAAATTGATATATTTAGCAAACTAAATTTTTGTATGAAAACAGGTAATGGCAATAAAATAATATATAACTAACAAATAAAAATAAAATAAATATAGCCTACCCTCGCAGTATATATTTCTCAACACACACACACACACACACACACACACACACACACTAGGGCTGCAACAAACGATTATTTTGATAATCGATTAATCTAACGATTAATAGAACGATTAATCGACTAATCGTCGATTATTCCGCAGACTAATCAGTAAGTTTGGAACGATTATTCAGCTTTTCCAATTAGTTAAAACATTGAGTTATACATATTCTAACTATAATATAAAAAAGAAAATCACTTCAGCTTTTGAAATAGTTGTTTTAATGAACTTTGAGCCAACTAAACAGCTCATTCTCTTTAAGTTTTCAGATTTCAGTCCAACTCAAATCACACACAAATGCTCTCTAAGCATTGTTTAATGGGCCCACTGCTTTTCTTAGAACTGAAACAGAAAAAGGGACATTTACTTCAGGACACAAAGAATGGTAAAATATTAATCTGCAAACAATTATTATAAGTATAAAATTACAATCTTTTTTTACATGACAATTGAGCTGACAGAGACGTTCTCATTCACCTTTTAATATATAGTATGATAAAGTAACTGCCATGATATTCTTCCTATATCATAGGAAGGATATAACATCTCGTTTTGCAA